TAGGCTCAGTGGACTAGCGCAACAAGTAAAACTAAATCCATGTCCTCATGGATCTTTCAGTCTAGGACTAGTCAAGGATGGTGGGGATGTACAATCAATAAATGAATAAACATCTAGATATTTAGTCAATGCAACCTGCTGCAGAGAAAAATAGGCAGGAAAGGGGAACAACTGAGTTTAAGGTGAATGGAAAAGGCTAACAGGAATTTTCTACAGGGTAATCAGGAAAGAGCTCATTGAAAGAAGATTATGTGGGTAAATGTTTGCAGAATGTGATAGAACAAGCAATGGGCCCATCTAAGAGAAAGAATAGGCCAGGCTGGGGGACAGCAGGCACAAAAGCCCTAAGGCAGGCAAGGCCTGGTGTGTTGGAAGAACAGCTAACAGGCAAGGGCGGCTGGAATGGAATGAAACAAAAGGAAAAGTAATATGATATATGGTCAGAGAGCAAATGAGTGGGGAGGCTACTAAATCCGGACTTTTATTCAGTTAGGGTGAGGAGCCACTGAAGGGATTTTGAACAAAGGACTGACCAAATCTAATTCAGTTTTTTTGTTATTGTTTTTTTTTTTTTTTTTTTTGGCGGTACTAGAGAGTGAACCCAGGGCCTTCACACTGAGCTACATCCCCAGCCCTTTTTTATTTTTTCTTTTGGGACAGGATCTCATTAAGTTGCCAGGGTTGGGCTCGAACTTATAATCTTCTGAAGCCTTAGCATCTCAGAGTGCTAGGACTGCAGGCGTGAACCACCATGCTCTCCTTAACTCAGGCTTTACAAAGAGCACTCTGACTCCTATGTGAACAGCCTGTAGGGAGAAAAGGGCAGAAGCTGGAGGCCAGCCTATCGGGCTGTTGGCAAGGGTCCAGGTGGCTTTGATTGAGGTGGTAACAGGGAAATGGGAGAAAGCCACTAGATTTTAAACAGATTTTGACAGTGTAGCCAATGAATTTGCTAGTGAGAGTGGTATAAGAAGAAAAGGATCGAGTATGACTTTGTTTTAGGTGTAAATGACCAGAAAAATGAAGTTGCCATTAACTGAAATAAAGAAGCCTGAGGGACAGATTCAGCGGCCAGAGGGAAGGAGTTCAGATGCAGACATGATGGATTTGAAATACTTGTTAGACACCTTAATGGAGATGTTAAATCATGCAGGTTTGGAGAAAAGTCTGGACTAGAGAGAGACATTTGGAATCATCTAGGTTAAGATGCTATTTAAGGCCATTAGATTGAATGAGGTCATAAGGCTGGTGAGAAGGAACAGCGAAGTCCAAAGGCCAAGATTCGAGGAGTAGCCATACTTAAAGGGCAACAAGATGAGGATCCAGCCAGGCGTGGTGCCGCACATCTGTAATCCCAGCACTCGGGAGGCTGAGGCAGGAGGATCACTGTGAGTTCAAGACCAGCCTGGGCTACATAGTGAGTTCCAGGTCAGTCTCAACTACATAGTGAGACCCTGCCTCAAAAAACAAAAACAAACAAACAAAACAAAAGAGATGAGGATCCAGCAAATGTGCTGGAAAAGGAGTAAGCAACAAGGTAGGAGACAAACGTCATGAGAGGGTGGCATCCTGAAAGGGAAGAGAGAAACAATCAGTGGTTTGAAATGCTGCTAGTTGGTTAAATAAAATGAAGAATTGCTCTGGGTCACAATGTGGAAGTCACCGGAGACTGAGACCTGAGGAATTTTGGTGGAGTGGTGGGAGGGAGTACCAATGTGGGGAGTGGAACTAGAGAGGCCACTAAAGACAAACCCAGGAGTTTTTCTACGAAGAAGAGCAGACAGATGAAAGTAGAGGCAGGAATGGGATTGAGATTACAGCGGTGCCTTGGTTCACAAATGCAATTCTTTCCTCCATTCTGGTCGTGAACTGAATTGGAAGAGAACCAAATCAAATTTCCGCATAAGGTCACCATTGAACGTATCCATTAAATTTGATTGTACCGTTCTGAATGATGGGAGGAATTGCTGTATGCCTATACACTTATCAGAATGACTCAACACGGTAGGGGGAAATAATGAGGTAGAAGAAAGAAGAGGGAATTGCTAGAGTGATCCTCTAGGAGGCAAAGCAGGTAGGACTGAGTGCACCAGTGCAGGGCTTGGGTCGAGATATGCACGCAGGATTGCTCCACTCAGACACTGCTGACATCTGGGGCCAGGTAATTCTTTCTTGTAGGGAGCTCTTTCGTGCACTGTAAGATGTTAACCAGCATCATTGGCCTTTATCCACTATAAGCCAAATGCACCGAGTCCTAACCAAAGTATCTCTAGGCATTGCTAAATAGCCCTCACAAGTTTTGCCCCTCTCAGACATTGTGGGGCATCATAACTAGGTGCTGTGGGGGAGGTGCTACAGATATTTACTGAATAGAGGCCAGGGCTGCTGCAAAACATCCTACCACATACAGGACACCCTCACAACAGGATCACCCAGTCCCAACCCATGTGCCTGTGCTGGAGAAACACTGATCTAGAGGAAGAAGGCTACAGATGCTGAAACAAGTCCTTGTGAAAGTTTTTCTTCAGATTGCTTTCATTTTTTCACCAAAATAGGAAACAGGGTCATCACCTATAACTCATGTTAGGGGAGGAGGCCCAGGAGGGTGAGGAAGACGTCTTAGTTACTTGCTATGTTGCTGGAGCACAATGCTCAACACTCACACCTTAAAGGAGAAAAAGGTTATTTTGTTTTGGTTTTTGGTGGTTTGAGACAGGGTCTCACTATTTTAGTCCAGGCTGGCCTAGAATTCTCTAGGTAGCCCAGGCTGGCTTCCAACTTGTGGTGATCCTCCTGCCTCGGCTTCCAGAGTGCCAAGATTACACGCATGCACCACCACACCCAATTTGAAAAGGTTTACTTTGACTCACAGTTTATAGAGGTTTTAGCCCATAGTTGGCTGGCTCCAAGGCAGGGTAGCATGGCAGAGGAGAAAGAGCTCAAGACATGGCAGGGAGGAAGCTGCAGACTGATCCACTGAGAGGTATCACATCCCCATGATCCAATTGCCTTCCAAAAGCCTCACCAATGGGTGCACAAGGTTTTGCGGGGACATCCATATAAAATCCATAACAGGAAAGAAGCTACAAAACTGTTCTGTTGGAGAAGTGCGCACAATTCTGGACTGCAGAGTAGTCACTTGAGGCAAGTAGTAGTAAATTTAGTGTGAAACCAGTTGGCTTGGATGTGTTTTTCTTGGGCCATGTTCAGAGATAGAGTAGGGAGAGAGCTGGATTTAACAGATTGTGGTTTTGTCCACAAGTGCAAGGAAGCAACGAAGAGGCAAACAGTGAGTGATAGAAATGACCACAGAATTTGCACTGAGTAAGAAGACAGAGGGATATAAGGGACTATAAAAACACAGGTGGCAAAAAGCAACAAATGTCTATCCCAGTAAGGTAGTTTCACAATATTCTGAATTATGAGCTTGTGAGCTGCTCAGTGAAGGACAAAGTACAATAGTCTCTAAATGAAATCAGGTAAATTAGGCTTTCTGAGCTCAGTGTTTGGAGCTCTGGTCTCTTAGGTCAAGTTAAGCTAAAGACTGAGTAAGCAACACTAGACATCTGAGAAATCAGAGGGCCCAGAAAATTTGAAATGACTCATAGTCTTTATTAGTTTGTTTGCATATTTTTCTTATAATTATTCAGACGCCTGTGGATATACCTAGGAGTATCGAGTCTCACAAATATAACAGACTGAAGTACCAGACAAAACTGTGGCCACCGGAGGCGTTACCCCAACTCTCGATGGCTTCTTGATGGCTAAATTCACCAACAGTTGTTTCTAGCAGATTCATGGTTCCTACCATCAAAGATTTTGTTTAAAATGGTATTCATGTCCTCATTAGCATGTATATGAAACACGAGAAGACACCGATACCAGGGCCAGGGATTTAGCTCAGTGGTTCCGCTGCCTGCCACACAAGCACAAAGACCTGAGTTCAATCCCCGGTACCAAAAAAAAAAAAAAAAAAAAAAGAGAGAGAGAGACACTAATACCATTTTTAGAGGAACAACATGTAGCCTTTATGGACTTGGGCTTTGTACAATAAATTAGGTATCAGCAGGCTGAGTTTAAGCCCAGGTCTGCCACTCAACAGCTGAATGGTAGTAGGCAAGGGATTCTAATTATTCAACTGAAAAATAGACATAATATGGTGGTCTATAATCCCAGCACTCAGGAGGCAAAGCTGAATGATCACAAGTTTAAGACCAGCCTGGGATACATAGCAATTTCAAGGCCAAGACTAGCCTGGACTACACAACCTCAAAGACCCTATCTCAAAACAAAAACCACTTATGAGTACCTCATGGGGCTGCTGCCCCGGAATAATCAAACCACATTCTACTTTACTCATAATAAACATTGTGATTACACTCTTAGAGGGGCACAGAGCCTCCCATTCTGACTCCTGACTAAAGTCTCTCTTCCAGTCAAAACAGAGAAAAGGAACAAGAGTTTTTCATAAAGGCAGAAATCTCTGTTGCATGCATTAGAGAGGCACCAGTTTCTTTTCTACATGGAATAGAAGTATGGGAACTTGGCCAGAGCTTGCACTTGACGGACCACTCTTATAGCCAAGGGCAGATAGAAAACTGGAGGAACAGCAACATATGGAGACACAAACCAAACCACAACTGGTGGGTGTAATTTTAGGGCCAATTCTTGGCAGTTTGGCTTTGGACTGACAACAGCTTGGAAACAGGTGGGATATACTTACCAATGGGTTTCCTGAGGATCAGGTTCATGTCTGGCTGAGTCAGGAGGGCCGCACCCATCTCTCCTGAGAAAACTCCGAGGCCTATTAGGGCTGGAATAATCCGCCCCTTGGGTGTGTAGAGATCTGACCTTAGTCAGATAAACTGCTCCTCTCAAAAACCTCTAAAGTCCTGGCTCCATTCGCCTCAGCCCCTAAAACATACACTCCAAAACTGACGTGTGGCCAATCACGATGTGCCACACATCCCGACTCCACCCTGGCTCCACCCCCCTCTTACCTATATAAGTCTGTACAGTTCCTCAATAAAAAGGAAGCGTTCCAGAAACCTCCCTGGTGTCTGCGTGGTGATTCCGTGCCTCGCCCTCCCAGTCTGGGTTCCTGAATCTCGTTCCACGAGCGGGTTCCTGGACGAAAACAACAGTTTCCCACAAGTTACCATGGCTCTCTGACTAGAAGTTAACATGGAGCTTTTATAAATTTGTCTTTTGCCACTCGCGGTCATCTCATGGCTCTCAATCTAGGTATCAAGTGCTCAAGAGGCCTCTGAAAAAGTATGAACAAAAAGTCAGACTGAAAGGGAGCCCTGCAATGAATATTACAAGAAGCCAACTGAAGACATAGGGAACAGTACTAGAAACCCCAAGCACTAGCTGCAGGCTGGCCTCTAACAAGTTCTGCAGAAATCATCACATGATGGCTAGCCGCCACCATCCTTCTACCTAGCAAATAGGGATAACATTTAGACCCAGAGATGAGAGCGGGGGTATCTAGCCCAATCCTTGTATTTCACAGAGGATGAGACTGGGACCACCTGAGGTGAACTGATGTATCTCAAAAGTGCTCGGGACTAAAACCCAGATTGTGACCCCCGCTTTAGGCCTCATTTCCCCCACCTGTTTCTTCCAGCTGCCTTCTCAGGGAGACAAGAGTTGGCTGAAGTGGCACAATCAGCGTCGTTTCTCTGTCATCCTGTCAACCTCAGATGCCAGGGAAAAGGACAACTGTCAGCTTCAGGTCAAGTCCACATGAACTCTTAAAGATAGCCCTGCCCCAAGTGGTTTTTAAGGGTATTCAAGCTTGAGGGTGCCAACCAGTCCTAGGATGGTGACACAGATCCATCCAGAATCCCTAGAAAAGGCAAAACAACACTGACAATGAAATACCAAGAAGAGAGACCATGTAGAAGCCCTTTGGGCTGGACAGGCCCAGTACCTTACCCAGCCACAGTCCTGCAAACACAGCAGCAGGCGCAGGGCCTGCGAGGTTTAATACTCTGCTGTCACCATTTGAAATTCTTTTTTTTTTTTCTCACTGAGTTTATTGGTATACTTTAGGTATACAGTACAGTTACATTCATCATTGGGATCATGTACCTTTACATGACAGGTCTTGGTTCTCATTTTTTCCCCCTTGTCCCTGCCCTCCCTTTACCCCCTTCTCCCTTCCCCATTTACAAATACTTTATTTCCATTTTTTCATTTTCTCATATTTTTTCTTTTCCCTTATTTCCTTTCCCCTACCCTTCCCACTTCCCCTACACCTTTAGCCCTTTTCTTCCTATTTCACATTGTCAATTATACCATCTTGATCCTTATTTACACTTTTAATTTTTCACACCAGAGAAACTATTCGGTATTTAACATATGTGTGACTTATTTATTTCACTTACGAGTACGGCCTTATAAGGACCTGGTATTTTCATTTTGCCCATGGCTCCTCAAATTATGTAGCCAGTGCTGCTTCCTTCAGCAGTGATGAAAGAAGTGGCCCACGTACACCACCAATACCCCTAACCCTACACAAATGGGACCAAAACAAAGGCCTGTGATTTTTATCCCATCTACAGCTTCTGGAGGGAAAGAATTCTGGGTGAGAGTCAGAAGAAGTAGGAAGCCTGCACCCTCAGGCCAGGGGCCTAGGAACCAGCCTCCTTTCCCAACCCTGGCCGGGCAGATGCCAACATGAAAATGGCACTTTTGCCTGGCCTAGAGGCACACATCTGTCATCTCAGCACTGGAGAGGCTGAGGCAGGAGGAGCCACGGGTTCGAGGCCAGCCTGGGCTAATAGCAAGCCTCTCCAAAAAACAAAATCAACAAGAGTGTGTGACTGAAAGTGTAAATAAGGACTAAAAGATATAATAGATAATTTGAAATAGGAAGAAAAGGTGCAAAGCAGAAGGGGAAATGGGAGGGTAAGGGAAAAGAAAGATGGGAATGGAATTAATATGAAAAAAAGAAAAAGTGGAAACAAAGTCTCTGTAGATAGTGAAGGGTGGAGGGCTTGAAGGGAGGGGAACGGGGGGGGGGGTGGGGCGGGGGGGGATAAGAACCAAGATGGATTATGTAAAGGTGCAAATTTCCAATGATGAATGTCACTGCATTGTATACCTTAAATGTTCCAATACAATAAATTTTTTTAAAAAGTAGCCCCAAGCCCCAGCGGCCCTACTCATCAGTTCCAAGGGGCGCTCCCGTCCTCCCTGCTGCGTATTCAGTCTCCTACGCTGGTGCTGTCTGCCGGAGAGAAAAATGGAAAAGTAGGCCAGAAAGAGCCTTGCCCTCTGGGGGCGCGCTTCTGCCCGCCAGCTCTTTGGCTAAAGGCAGTTTGGGGTCAGGTAGTTAGAGGGACTGCGCTCTCAGACAGGAGGGTGACCAGGTCCCCTGCCCAACGCGGCCACAGTAGCGGGCGGCAGAAAGCTGGAGGATCGCGGAGAGTGAGGCTCTTGCCCTCCAAAGCCGGCTTCCCCTAGAGAACTCAGGGCCGCCGGGAAAGGCGGGCGGGGCCACGGCAGAAGGGCTGATTGGCTGAGGCGCTAGTTCTGACGTAATACTTGAATAAAGCTACCAATGAGGGTGCTTTGAGTGAGGGTTTCGTAGTGTAGTGGTTATCGTGTCTGCTTTGTACACAGAAAGTCGTGGGTTTGACTCCTAGAGTGAACCATAACTGAGAAGTAGCAGGGTTTTTCACTTTTGCTGTCATGCTTTCTCCGTTTTAATTAAAAATATTTTTAGCATAATTTTATGTCAGAAAAGAAATGGCAGATAATCTGCTATCTCCCAAAGTCACAGCTGCCATCGCTGGACCTGAGCGCCGAGAGTGGAGGCAGGGACAGGTCCTAGTCTCCACAGGGCCCTACCCACCTTTCTTGCTGGTACTCCTGGAGGCCTCTCTCTGGAGCCAAGAAAGGCCAGCCCCCGCAAAGCCTCCAACTAATGTATGTCAACAGTGCAGCACTTTGACTGTGGTTGAATTGTTCAAGGTTGATCATGATTAAAGGTTTAACATTTCATTAAACTCTAAAGTACAGAGCACAAAACACAGTCCTTTTCTTTTTCTTTTTTTTTCTTTTTCCCATTAAGTTTATTGATAAGTTTAAGGCAAACAGTGCAGTTACACTTATCATTGGGATCTTGTACCTTTACATGATATATCTTAGTTCTTATTTTTTTCCCCATTCCCTTGCCCTCCTTTCACTCCCTTCACCCTTCCCTATTTACAAAGACTTTGTTCCCATTTTTTTCATATTTTTTCTTTTCCTTTATTTCCTTTCCCCTACCCTTCCCACTTCCCCTTTAGAGTCCTTTTCTTTTTAATATAGCAGTAGGGTTAGTGGACTAGACATTCACCTGTTTAATGAAAAATCCATACAGTACAGACTAAGTGTCAGGTTTATCAACCTCTAATAAATGCTGTTGACCAAATACTTCTCTAGTGCCTTTCTGATCCTCTTTATGGTTTCATTACAGTTTTGTTTGGGTGTGAGGGGGCGTTTTTACTTTTTAAACTCTGGCCTTTTTCATCCTTGACAAGAGGAATAAGGGAAAGGTCTGGGACTCTGGGCCCAAGGTGTGGGCCAGGGATGGAACAGTGGTGGCAAAACACTGCCAGGGGGAGGAAAAATTCAGTATTTTTCTCAGCTTTTTCCACTACTTTGGCTATAGTATATAAATCCGCGTCTTTTTCTAAGCCAATTTTTCCCTATAATTGATAATCACCTTAATTCTTTTTCTAAACCATTTTAACCATTAGTGTGTAGTTCAGGTAAGTATATTCACATTGTTGTGAAACAGATCTCCACAACTTTATCTTGAAAAACAAACTCAGTATCCATCGATCAACCATTCCTTTTCCTCCCATCAGCTTGACTCTTACTGGCTATGTGATAATGTTCACTGAGTATGCCAAGCACTCTTCTAAGTGTGTGTATTGGGGTTTTTGTGGTTGTTTTGTTTTTCAGTGCTGGGGATTGCAGATAGGGCCTCCTGCATGCTACCCAAGGCTCTATTGCTGAGCTACATCCCCAGCTGCTCTGAGTATTTTATACATACAGCATCATCCCATTTAAAATTTAAAATTACTCTATGAAGTAGGCATTTTTATCATTATCACGTTACAGATGACAGCCATTGGTAGCAGTGGGATTTGCACCAAGTCTACCTTGGAAAGCTGTGCTCTGAACCCTCCCTGGCTACGCATACTGCCTTCCTAATTTGCTTGACCACCCCTAGCCATGTATATTTTTCTTGTCTCCAATTTTTTTATTACACAGTACCACACAGTATCTTTGTGTGTAACTGTCCCCTGCTCCCCACCAAACCTAATATTTTCCTGAGTGAATAGGATGGCACTGCCATATGGATAACAGAATGTTAGTGCCTCTTTGGCAAGAAATTGATCAAAGTCATCCTAGAAGGTAATGATGGAGAAAGGATTAAGGCTGGAGTCTTCAGATTCTTGTTCCTATTTTCCTCCATCACTTCTCGTACTTTTAAATAGAATAAAACTAATATTGTCCATGTTCAACCAACCTCAGTCATCCTCAGAGTTTTCTTGGAGACGTCCTTATTGAGGGAAGTAACTATATGGGTTAGCTTGATGGGGCTCAGCTGAAGACCTAAGAACTAAATGGAAAAAGCTGCTTAATGAGGCCAGTGCTCAGGTTAATCCCCTGCTTTTGGGCAAGCTCCCCAGTTCAGTGAGGTAGATCTGCAGCCAAGGACGAGGGAGAAATGCCTGGCAAGATAGAAGGCTTCTTGCTATTACTTCTCTTTGGCTTTGAAGGTATGTGCTATTCAGCTATTGGCATCCACTACATAATGACATAATTTAATAATATATAGTTGATAAAATAGAAATACAACCTGAATAATAAAAAGTATTAGCAACACATGTTAATTAGTTAACATGTGTTATTAACAATTGACAGCTGTCTTTGTGTGGATATGATTGCCATTGTCTTGCCTTTGTCTTTCTGCTTCTGTAAGTAACCTTTCAAAGTTCAAAGGATGCTTAAAATCCAACAGAAAAGAAGGGTCTTAGACATTATATAAAATAATTATCGGCAGCAACAACTAATGAGAAACACAAAGTAGTGTGTGTGTGTGTGTGTGCATGATTTTAGAGATTGAACCCAGAACCTCACACATGCTAGGAAAGTATTCTACCACTGAGCCCATGGGTGAGGTATTCTTAAAAACATTTAGGAGTCAAAGTTAAAGTGCTTGAAGAATTTAATCTTCCAAAACAGGATACTACTGATAGAAGAGGAGGGTGCTATTAATAATTCTGCTGAGGCAGTGGGTTTAAACCAGGACTGTCCCAGGCAGATTGGAACATAAGATCATCCTACTTTAAATATGGATAGCCAGGGATTTAGCTGAGTGGTTCTGCCGCCTGCCTCGCAAGCATAAGGTCCCGAGTTCAATCCCCAGGACAAAAATAAAAATAAATAAATAAACATGGATTAACATAACACACTGGGTACCACTGAAATCTAATAAAAAGCATAATGCAACTGAGAGTCAGGAAACCCCAAAGACTTGATATACTCTATGATTTTGAAATTTCTAAATATGGCCCTGGCAGGAATGGTATGCTTACATAAGAAAACATTAAAGTCAAATCCCTAAAATGTCAGCCAAATCAACATTTAAATTCTCTCAATCGTTCATGCCTCTCTCAATTCTCAAGTACCCATCAAGTCAGAATTCCTTCTTAGATTCATTTGGACATTAGAAATTAAATGTCTCCTTTGTGGTACTTGTGTATTTGTGTATCATTTTCCTCTACACTCTCACTGTATTTTACTGAGACAGTGCCTATTTTTGTTGTTTAGTCACATTTCTCAGTAGTTAGAAAGACTTGTGAAAATATATTCCCAAGGTCTTTTTGCAAATTCCAAGATATATTTCTAAGCAGGGTTCATTTCAACCAATTTTCTATTATTGTTTTTCCTCCTTGCACTTGAGAGTCAGTAGCCTGTACCAGTAACTTTTTAGGGGAGAGAGCATACTGAGGAGCCAACCCAGGGCCTCACACATGCTCTACCACTAAGCTATATCTCCCCTGTCCTGTAATATTTAATGCTTTAAGATGCTTTAGGGATTTTGTTCCTTACCTTTTCCTTGCAAGAAGATATAAGCAGTCATTCAAGGTTTAGAACCAAATACCTCTGGTTCGCAGACACCCACAGTGCTGGCCCTTAGACTTCTCTTTCATGGCTGGCATTGGGGTACATTTGTGTGTCTATTTGTTCAAGAAACCATGCATGAGTATCTGTCATGGGGCAAACATTTTGGAAGAATTTGACCCCTGGGGAAGATCTTGGTTGCTTTGGAAGTGCTGAGTCATACAGTCCTGTTCCATGACCTCCAAATGGGAAGAAGTCCTCTAAAAATTCACCAATGCGTTTTTTAAATTAGACTTGCTGGAAGCTGAACAGGGGAGGGCACGCCTATAATCCCAGCACTTGGGAAGCTGAGGCAGGAGGATCACTATGAGTTCAAAGCCAGCCTGGGCTACATAGTGAGTTCAAGGTCAGACCTGAACTACAAAGTGAGACCTTGTCTCAAAGAACTCAACAAACAAATAAAGTAGACCTGACTACGCAGTGAACATTGTAATAAAAGATATGCTTTTGGCACAGAGGACAGCATTCTTTCCTGTTCCTTGGTTTGTCAATCTTTGTGCATTGACTGGGGAGTTCCAGAAATGTACAGAAAGAACGGAGAGGTCATCTGTCCAAGTGGAAGCAAATGTGGTTACGTGGGAAAGCTAGGAGTACATAAATTCTCTTACCCATCCACTCCAGCAGCACCCACCCTCACGGCACTTGGGAGGAACCAGCTAAGCCAATATGGCTAGTGTGACTTAGTGACCTCCTGTGTGCTCTACCCTGAGCCACAGGGATTCTCCTGGGGGCAGGAAAAATACAGGACACAATCATTGCACTTAATCAGAGAATGATCCATTACATTGACACCCGGGAACCTAAAAATAAAGCTTCTTTGTCTGATTGACTCTTTGCTGTTTCTGTTGTTCAGCAGCAGTGACTCCTTATTACACTGAAGTAAGGTAAATGGATTGACTTAGCTTATCAGTTCAATCTTTCTTCTTTTATTTGGGAATGCACACATCAACATAGCACCACTGATGTCATAGAACTGTCGAGCTCCTATTTATCTTCAATTGCACATTTAAATGCTATGCTAATTGTGATTTTAAAAACATCCATCCTATTAAAATACTTGGTCATTTTTATTACGTGTTATTATATGCCATTACTTGGTCATGTTTATTATATAAAAGCAACAACAAAGAAGCCGTCTTGCACGTGAATGTGTCTCTTTTGCAGGTGTGCCAAACATTGGGGATTATAGATTTTTGTAAAAAGCAGCTTTACTGAGATGTAATTTACATATAATTAAATTCACCCATTTAAAGAGTATAAATC